GATTTTATATTTCCTAATAACGATGTAAAGACTCTTAAATGTAAACGTAAATAAACAAACAAATAAACGGCGAAAGAAGAGTCAGTAGGTTAAAAAAAAAACATTTAATTAATTAAAATTATTAGGCGACGATACATGAACAGATACGGAACGGCGCATATAAATGTGTAAATGTATAAAAATGTTTAAAAATATATATATATAACAAGTTTCGGCTACGAGATTGAGCCCTCTTCAGATGTAAAGCGCGAAAAAATAGACGATAAGTAAAAAATAAGTAAAAAACAATTCATGTCGCAATTAACATTAAACGTAAAGAAGTAAAATTTAGATGGATCTCAAAAATATTTTTATACATTTACACATTTATATGCGCCGTTCCGTATCTGTTCATGTATCGTCGCCTAATAATTTTAATTAATTAAATGTTTTTTTTTTAACCTACTGACTCTTCTTTCGCCGTTTATTTGTTTGTTTATTTACGTTTACATTTAAGAGTCTTTACATCGTTATTAGGAAATATAAAATCGAGAAATAAAAACTTTAATTCGGGACGTAACAATGATAATAAATTTACATTTACCTTCTATAGTTGTCCATTACCCTTACACTGCTTACATAATATAATTAATAATAGAAATATTTTTCATTTGAAAAATTTACTATTTAACTCTACTAAATTAGTAAATTTACTATTTTACTCTAAATAATAAATTTAGAAAATTCTCTCTATTAACATGATGTTCAATTTTGATTGCAGTTTCCATAATGGACCCACACGGCTCAGTATCGCCATGCGACAAAGTATGGCAAAAGATCCTGTGGCTCCCGTCTTATGGGAACCCCATTTAGATGCCCTAGACCGGCGAATAAACATTATTCTACAAGCCGTCCGTGACTGTATTGCCCGTGAAAACTCTTCGCAACAAGTCGTCCACAGCGATAAAATTGATTCAAAGTTATAGCTTTCAAGCGAATTTAGAATAAATAATCGTAATGTAAAAAATGTAAAGAAATCTTTTTTTCCTTCTCTGGCTACTTTTTCCTTCTTCCTGTTACTCTCAAATAATTTATATAAAAATTCTTTAAAAAATGTCTTTTATCTCTTTTTTCTCGTTATTGTCTATCTTTAAAATAATTTTTTTATTTGTTAATATATTTACATTATACATATAGGGTGTTAAAAAAAACCATTCAGCATTTATATAGTAGATAATATATATATATACTATAAAAACTTTATATTAAAAAAACTTTAATGAACATAAGTCGAAAGTTCAATCGTTTTTTCTGAGATATAACCATTTTTGTATGTTAGCATCATGATATAAAGACAAGGATATGCTTATCTCATGGATGCGTAGTATGAAGCCAGCTTACGTCACAATCGTGTAAATTTGATTACTCTCGGAATACTTGGTTGATATAAAATTTAACTGCCCCTTGCCGTAGAAATAGAAGTGTGAGTTACAAACGTATGCATGTGGCGATTCATTGCCCATTCTTCAAAAATAAATTAGATAAGAATCATTAATCTGTTATATATATATATATTTTTTTTTTCTTTAATTTGTGAAGAGAGTACAAAGAAAGTTTTCAATTAATCATGTATTTTTCCAGGTACGTAATGTGAATTGTTTTTTTATGAAGAATATTAATTGTTATTAAAAATATAAATCATCTTTCCATTATACAAATATTTTTACAATTTCTGCATCTGTGGTGAGAGTATAAAACTACATAGTTTGAACAATATCAATGTATATACTCGTATGTAGTGGCGTATTTATTTATAAAGAAATAACACATTATTCTTTGAAATTATACGTGATAATATAAGTTATTTGAATTTAGCGGAGAAATCATGTTTTAAAAATGAATCTTATTGGAAGATATTGTAATTCAAAGCTGTAAGTCTGTACTGAATAAACAAATTTCGAATTTGCGGCTTAATGATGACGCAGTCAGGGTGCATTTCTGATTGGTTGTCTATAGCTATCATACGAGGTCTATTAAATAACGAGACTGCTTATGAAAAAGAGTTTTATTTTAAAAATTATTCTACAATTGAATGCTCCCCTTCAATGTACTCCCCTCCCCTCGCCACACACCGTTCCATTCGTTTTTTCCATTGGTCAAAGCAATGCTGGAAGTCTTCTTTTGTAAGAGCATTTAGGAGCTCCGCCGATTTTCGCTTCACCTTTTCCATCGACTCGAACCGGGTTCCTTTTAAGGCAGACTTGATCTTCGGAAACAGGAAAAAGTCACAGGGTGCTAAATCAGGCGAGTACGGCGCGTGTTCGAGCACTGGAGTGCCTCTAGCGGCTAAATAACGCTTCACAGACAGCGCGTTATGGGCAGGTGCGTTGTCCTGGTGTAAGATCCACGACTTGTTTTTCCACAACTCCGGCCGTTTCTTACGAACTCGCTCTCGCAGTGTTGCCAAAACTGTCAAATAGTAAGTTTGGTTTACAGTTTGACCCTCTGGAACCCATTCAGTCATCACGATGCCGTTGATGTCGAAAAAAACGATTAGCATGGCTTTAAATTTTGATTTCGACATCCTTGCTTTTTTCATTCTTGGCGATGCAGGAGTTTTCCAGTGCATGGATTGCCGCTTAGTTTCAACATCGTATTGGAATATCCAGGTTTCATCGCAAGTGATGATGTTTTCCATCAATTCAGGCTCTTCATCTAACCTCTCAAGAAAATCTGAGCAGATCTGTTGACGGACGAGCTTTTGGTCAGGGGTCAAATTTTTTGGGACCAACTTCGCACAGACTTTCTTCATGTTTAATTCGTCATGTAAAATTTTTCTGACAGTTTCTTTATCGGCGTTTACAGTCTCAGCAATCATCCGAATGCTCATACGACGATCTCCGCGCACAATTTCATTGATTTTGGTCACTGTTTGCGGAGTTGAAACAGAGACAGGTCGACCTGGACGTTGGTCATCTTCGGTGCTCTCTCGGCCTTCAGAAAACCGTTTATACCATTCGAAAACACGCACACGAGATAGAGAATTCTCACCATAGGCCTCTTTCAACAACTTATAGCACTCAGTCGGAGTTTTTTTTAATTTAACGAGAAATTTCACATTGATCCGTTGCTCGTGTGTTTCGTCACACATTGTTATCGGCGAGAAAAAAACAAGTTCGTTTTTAACCTCTATAGAAAAAATACTACTACTGCGACAAAAACGTGTTTTCGTACTGGAATAGTAGACACTTCCAGCAATCCAACGCTGCATTCGTTTCTCACCCTACCCCTCTAGGACGCCTTCTGCGCGCGCAGTCTCGTTATTTAATAGCCAGACCTCGTATGCATAAATATACTCTTGTCTTTGTATCATGGTTAGCGTCATTAATAACTTACTGGCTTCTACACGTTGCATGCGATGTTTATCTCAATGTTTATAAACTGCGTTCTGTATATCCTCATTTAATTTCCATACATACAATTCATAACAGAAGATTTCACTGACAATCAGTTAGTTCCCATACAGCGCCGAAAGTTTTCAGAAATATCTCAAAAATTTTTCAACTGAAAAGTGAAACATTTCATAAAAATTGCAAAATATATTTGCAACATTTTTTAGACAACTCTGAAATAACAAAATGTTCGTCATTCTTGTTATTAAAAGGTTGAAATGTTACATGAAACCTTATTTAAAAGATGAAATGTTACAGAAAAAATCTGCAATCTTTTTGAAATCTTATCAAAAAGATTTCAGCTATTTCTAATACTTCAAAAATAATATTTAAATATATACGTAATTGATACTTAAATAATACGAGGGCAAGTCAATAAGTTCTTAGAAAATCTGTCAAAGGGCACTCCCAGTGTCATGTCACATTACTTTTTGACATGTAGCATCTTTCAGCTGATTATTGTCAAATTTTGAGCGGAATTCATCGCGTGGCTTCATTTCTGTAGATTAAAGCGAACAACTTTTGTATTTTTTGCAAAATGGAAAAAAACGAGTTTCGTGCAGTGATCAAACATCTACATATAAAAGATTTAACGCCGAAAGAAATCAAAGCCGAGTTGGATAACGTTCACAGCACATCTACACCAGCGTTTGCGACTGTATACAATTTGGTGAATGAATTTAAACGTGGTCGTACATCCATATGTGATACATCTCGTTCGGGACGTCCAATTGAGGCTGCTACGCCAGAAATCATCGATAAAGTCCACGATATTGTTTTGACTGATCGACGAGTGAAGTGCGCGAGTTTGTTGAGGCCACAAGCATATCACATGGCACAGTGATTTCAATTTTGCACGAAAAATTGGGTATGAAAAAGCAAGATGGGTGGCACGTTTGCTCACTGTGGACCATAAGCGCGACCGTGTAACGACTTCAAAACAATGTTTGGAGATGTTTCAACGTAATTCAGATGAATTTCTGCGTCGATTCATTACTGTGGACGAAACATGGATCCATTACTTCATATCCGAGACGAAGAAACAGTCAAAACAATGTATTTCACCTGGTGAACAAGCTCCAAAGAAGGCGAAGACCGTGAAGTCGGCCGGAAAGATGATAGCCACAGGCCATTTTTTTGGATGCACGCAGTATAATTCATATCAATTACCTTCCGTCGAAGTAAACGATCAATGGCGATTACTACGTAGCCTTATTGGATCGTTTCAACAACATTTTAAAGAAAAAACGTCCCCATTTGACGAAGAAGAAAGTACTCTTCCATCAAGACAATGCATGGGTTTACACGTGCCAAGCACCGATAGCCAAATTCAACGAATTCCGCTACGAATTGCTTCCTCATCTAGCATATTCGCCAGATTTAGCCCCCTGCGACTATTTCCTGTTTCGAAATCTGAAGAGATGGTTCGGAGGAAAGAGATTCACTACCAGAGAGCAGTTCATCGTCGAAACAGAGGCTTATTTTGAAGGATGGACAAATCATATTATTCGGACGGCTTGAAAAAGTTGGAGAATTGTTGGATTAAGTGTATCGAACTGAAAGGAGACTACGTTGAGAAATAAAAATGAATCGAAAAAAATGTGTATTACTAAAAACTTATTGACTTGCCCTCGTACTTAAATTTATTATGTCGACATAATAAATTTAAATATTATTTAAGTATTAATTAAATTTATATTTAAATGTCATTTCTGAAGTACTTAAAATTTATTAAGAGTTTTGTGATCTGTTTATATTACAAAATTTGTTGAAACAAACTTAAAGTAAACTTTCTCAAAAATGTAGGTAATTATACCTACTTTGATTAATTAATCATATTATATATATAAGCACATACACACATAACACTATTGAAAAATCATTTATACCTTCTAGTTTCCACATATAATATCATTATTCATATACAAAATTTTTTTGCAATTAAAGTATTGTAAAATAAGTGATTCATATACAAAAAGTTTTTCACAATCGAAAATAAAACAACTTATAATAATATCAAAATAACATTAAACTGAATCGTAAAAAATGACTTTTAGTAAACATTTTGGATCCTTTTAATATCATAATTAATATTTTAATATCATAATGATTTTTTGTTCTGTTTAAATATGTTTTCAATTTATTGCATATAATAGATTTTAGAAACATTTCTATTAAAACATTTCATATTGCAGAATCCTTTCAAAATTGTTGCACATGAGATGTGAAAGGTTGAAACATTTCTGAAAATTTTCCGCAAAAATTGGTACTGTATGTTATCAACCGATGATTGAGGATTTACATAGTAGAGAGTTTTTACAATACCAAATATAGTGAACGCTAAGATCAGGTTATCTTCTTTTTAACAACTACTTAAGAAAAATAACTTTAGCGTTCACCGTATCTGGATTCACATTATTACAAAAACTTCCTATTATTTAGTGATTACACGGTAAATACAAAAATGTTTGTATCTCAGAAACGGTTAAATTTTTTATTTAT